CCGGTTCACACTATAGAAATGCAGTCCAGATGCGTTTTTGCATTCGCGTTTTTGATGCAAAAAAGCAACTGAAATGCATGTAGTGTGAACTGGCCCTAAATCAACAACATTACATGCAGTGAAATATATTTATTTTCTCCTGTCATTTCGCCACATTTTCAGAAACCTTTTGTGTATAAATCATTTGCTGCATAAACTTCCCAGCCACTCCAAACATAATAAAATGAACATGCACGGTCAAACGTATGTCATATATAGTAGGAATACTTGACTTTTTCACAAATATTTTTGGTGATATCTTTGGTGAACATTTTTGCAAGACAAATGCGGATTAGGAAGAGACAAATATTCTTACAAAGGTGTTGAACTTGAGCTGTTAGGAGAAAATTTGACAGATGGATACCAGAGTGACACTTTAAGGAATGTCAGAGAATGACAATAGCTATTCTCTAACAAGACAAAACAGACCCATCGAAAGATAAAGAAATGACTTTGCCAATTATAAGAGCAAAAATTGGCTTTAAAGTATAACTAAATACAAAACATTTTGAGTAAAGTAATGAAGGGTTAGAACCCCTGTCCATTTTTTTGCCATCTGTATCCCATTGGGGAGGTTTTTCTCCTTAATAGAAATGAGATATTCCATCTGTTAGGCTTATGATCAGACTACAGTGTCTTCTTTTATGCCGTAACTTCATCTAAAATGGTATGGTATTTGATCTGATCTGGTGTTATTTGGATATTAGGTAAATAATTGTAATGGTATCCAGTCATACTGTTGTGCGCAGTACATTCCACTCCAATAGGTGTTAATACAGCTTTTTATATATATCTGAACAAAGGTTATATTTTAGATTCATCAATTGGCCAGATGGTGCGTAGGGACACGCACCCTCGTCCGGCATAGACTTGTTATTTGCCGAAGATGATGTTTTACAATTAGGGCTTAGTTCAATCATTGGGGATATTTCCCTACTATTATTGTTCTAATGTCAACCTATAATGTGGGAATTTATTTTCCTTTCACTTTCAGTGATAAGGAGAAACAGTAAAAACAGAGAGGGTGAATCTCCCTAATGGGAGCACAGACAACAATAAAAACTGACAGGTGTTTTAATCCCTGTCTACTATATCTATCCCATGGGATATTAGGTTGCATGAGATAAAATACTGAATGGTTTGATGAGATAAATACCGCACATATCGATGAAGTAATACATGCCTTATTTTAGTAGTGTTTTTTAGAGAATTGCAAAAAAAAAAATGAAAACATCTATTTTACCTATGATCTTAAAAGAAAATACCGTTTTGTGAATTGAGCCCAATATATTTTTTGATACCAGCCATACCTTAAATAATTTAAATATCAAACACATGAACAATAAATGCCTTTGCATCACACCAAGGCATCAGGGACCTTCCTCCTGCCATGCAATAGCATTGCTTTTTTCTTTGTGCTCAGCCTTAAGGAATAGCACAGTAGACACATACACCTCATCAGCCGTGCATTGCCCACTTAGTGAGTGCGGTGGCACTTAGTCTAAACCAGATGTGGGGGAGAGACATCATCCAGTATATGCATTCTTGCCATCTGGCACTTAGTGAACAGTAGCTAGTGGTTTGCCATCTGCTAGTGCTGTTAGGTGATCCAGCCCGTGGCTATAAGCATCTGCCTGTCATATTGTTGACTATAATAGTGTTCACATACTATTATGATGTTTCTCATTAACAGATCCAGATGTGTGCTATATTTGTGATCTCCACACAAGACAGGAATGAAGCCCAGACTGAGACTTCAAAACAGGCCTGTATATGAGATGCACTGCAGACTAGTAATAAATAGGGATGAGATTCAGGTGCTGGTCTACCATGACTTGGCCTGCCTGAATTCTTTGGAACCATTATGCACTGTAAGGGCCTTTGAACTTAGGTCAACTGGCTTAGAAGGGCCGATAATGGGAGTTGTTTTGTAATGTACCAACCCCCTTACTGTAAAAGGGGCACAGAGCAGCCATAGGGGTTTATTTACTAAAGCTGGAGAGTGCAAAATCAGACTCACTTCTGCATAGAAACCAATCAGCTTCCAGGTTTCATTGCCAAAGCTTCATTGAACAAGCTGAGGTTAGAAGCTGATTGGTTTCTATGCAGAAGGGAGTCTGATTTTGCACTCTCCAGCTTTAGTAAATAAACCCCATAGTGTCAGTGTATTGGAAGTTGCAGCAGGGAAAGGATAGGGAAAGTTGACAAATTGCATATGGAAAAATTAAGATCAATTGGGAAACTGTATTTTAATTCCGATTGCTAGCTCTTTGGGCAATCAGCTCCTTTGCTACCCTTTTCTTACTGTTATTATCTTTGTCCTAATTTTATGTTGCGGTACATTTTAGGTCACTTTTAGCTCTCCTCTACACAGCAAACTACTTTTGTTTTGCTACAAGGTTTCCCTTGAAAAAAGAGATTTTTAAGGGGGGGGGGGGGGGGGGGCGGTATTTTGGGACTATATATTTTTTCATTAGGGCCTTTACACTGGTTAAACAGGTTTTTTAGAGAGTATTATTTTGCATTTTTATTTATTTGGGGGATGTATTTGGGTTGATTTACTAAAGGCAAATAGGCTGTGCACTTCAAGTGTACTGAAAGTGCAGTTGCTCTAGATCTGAGGGACACATGCAGGGAAAATAAAAAAAACAGCATTTTTGCTTGCACATGATTGGATGAAAGAAATCAGCAGAGCTTCGCCTCATTTCAGAGCTTACCCTTGGATCTAAAGCAACTGCACTTGCAATGCACAGTATATTTACCTTTAGTAAATCAACCCCACTGGCTCTATTGAGTTGAATTTTTTTATTTTTTTTTTGCTGTAAATTTTCAGTCTTTTTTTTGTTTATATAATAAAAAAAACCCAGTGGTGATGAAATACTACTAGAAAACCTCTATTTGTTTGAAAAAATTATATCAATTTCTTTGGGTACAGTGTTGTATGACCGCACAATTACCAAGTATGCAGTGCTAAATAGCAAAAAATTACCTGGTCTTGAAGGGGATAAAGCTTTCCGGAGCTGAAGTAGTTAAGGTTTCTTGCGTTGTCAACAAAAGAAACACAAAGCTTTCCAAAAATAAATTAACATCAGCATTTTTAAGGATGCATGCCCACAGATGTATTCGCCTGTCAATGCTGGATCTTGCTGCCAGAATCTGCCAGCAAGATCCGGCATTCACAGTGTATGTAATGGTGTGTAAAATGTCCTTATTATGTCTGGAAAGTGTTTGAAGTATACATGCTTAACCCCTTAGTGACTGCGGGAAAAACAAATGTTAATGCCTGAACACAATTTAGCAACTTTATTTGTTAGTAAAACTCTTATCTCAACTACTTTGTGTATCCAGGTGGATTATACCTTTTTTTTTTTCAGGACAAATTGGGCTTTCTTCTGGTAGAAAATGGTACAGGATATCTTCTAATTTTTTTTTTTTTATTATCAAAGTAAAACTGGCCCAAAACATTTTTTTTTAAATTTAGCTTTATATTTCTTGCTATTCCCATAATTTACCACCAAAAAAACAACTGATCGCAGAGATACCACCTATTTGTATGTTATTAGTTGTTTGTACCTGTAGTAGGACCCAAAAACAGCAGTGCACATTTTGCTCTTTATCCTAGCTAAAACACACATACACTGACACTAACTGACGCTGACTCTAATTTTAAACAAGCTGTTGAAAAAAAAAAACCCTAACAAAAATATACTGATCCTGACTTTTGACACTGAGCTTTGACCCTGGCCATGACCTTTGACCCTTACCTTGACCCTAACACTAACTCTGGTTTGACCTACATAAAATCTTGATCTAGCTATTTTTTTCTTTGTTTTTACTTATTATTACACACTTTTGTTTATTTACATTTTCATCTCCTGCAAGGAGAGAAAGATGCAACGGAGGAGATTTACTAAAGCTGGAGAACGCAAAACCTGGTACAGCTCTGCATAGAAACCAACCAGCTTCTAGGTTTTGTTTTGTCAAAGCTTAGTTAAACAAACTGATGTTAGAAGTTGGCTACCATGCAAAGCTTCACCAGATTTTGTACTCTCCAATTTTAGAAAATCTCTCTCAATCTATCTTTCTCTCCATTTAGAAGAGAAAGTAAATACATGGGAGGGCTGCACAGTGACTGGTGACTGTGATAGCCAATCAGAAGCTATCATAGCGATCAGGTGACCCACAACCAGGTCCCAATCGTTCGTACCAGACCATGGGCTCCCGATGAAAGTCCAGTCTCTGTGCTGAGAGTGTGCTGTGTGTCTCCCAGCACAAAGACAAGTATGCAAATATAGAGCTGTGCATTTATTTACTCATCTGAATGCAGTCCTAAAATACACTGCTAAACACCACTGTGTTCATAGACACATTGGGGTTAATTTACTAAAGACAAATAGACTGTGCACTCTGTGAGTGCTTAGTCAATGAGGGAAAGCGACACTTTACAAAGAATACCCAATCACGTGCAAGAAAAATGAAGAACAAAACAGCATTTTTTGCTTGCACATAATTGGATTATGGAAGTAAGCAGAGCTTCACCGCATTTACTAAGCTCTGGAGCAACTGCACTTGCAAGGTGCTCAGTCTATTTGCCTTTAGTAAATCTACCCCAGTGGCTAGTATACAGCTGCATTCAGATCTGTAGAAAAAAGCCATACAGCTCTAGATGCTACACTATTAGCATTTGTATTCCTGAGCCTTAAAGTGTTACTAAACTCAGGTCCCTGCATTCACTATATCTGGTCTCCCACAGTACGCAGAACATGGAAATGCAATTATTTTAGTTAATATAAACTGCTAAATACCTTTTCTCATCAGCAGTTAGAGCAGTTTTGTGACTTCTATCAGTGTTCAGCAGAGCACTGGTTAAAGCTTGCAGGAGGAATTTTCTTTCTGCTCTACGAGGATGCAGAACCCCTGACCTCTGTCTGGACAGTGCTGATTGGCCCTGTGCTGATCACATGCACTCTCGCAAGAAAAAAAAAACCTCTCTAGCAGTACATAACAATTGAGCATGTGCAGAGTGTCTCTACACGATATGTCTTATCAGGAGATAAGAGGGGAGCACTGGAAGAAGGGGAGGATCAGAGAAGACAGGATCAAACAGTCTTTTTACACAATGCAGAGTATTAACCCCTTAGATTCCACAGTGAGTATAACAAGCACACTCTAGTGCATATACAGATTGATTTTACTGTTGTGGGTTTAGTAACATTTTAATGGAACTTTACTGTCAAGAGAGATCCATGTAAGATGCATCTGCTAACCTCTTTTTCTGAACATGCCAACTGCCTGGCTGTCATACTAATGGTCTCGATTCAACAGTTTTTGAATCACTGACCAAATGACTATGCACAAGTATACAGACAAGGAGTTCTGAGTTGTCTGACTTTTCAGTTGTTGCATTGTTATATGTCTGAGATTCAGAATCATTGAAACCAGAGACAGCCAAATAGCGATGTTAAAAGTGGCAGTCCCCATATTACTGTTGTGTCCAGCGTATTATAAATATATAGCATACCAAGCCAAAATATCCTTTGTCTAACAGTGGCTGGAGTACAGATTGTTATAGACAGTTTATATTATCCCACTGTACAGAATGAAGTGTAAATTCTAGGTTCTGTGACTGGCTGCCTTTACTCTGCTCTATATCATATTTATGAACCCAAGCCATATAGGAGTGACAGGAAAATAGTTTTTAAGTAAACCCTTTGGAATTTTCTGGAGGATTGCATCCATCACTTCTAACAAAGAATCGAGACAGTGTTCTTTAATAAGTAACACATGAGGCATTTACATTGTTATATCTTTATTAAACAAAGGTTTAAATAGTTAAGGTCATTGATTGAAAAAAGATGTGTGAACTCTTATATTTAGTAAGTGCGGACCCTCGTTATTGGCAGTAACCCCAACCAAATGCTTTCTGGAGCTGTAGTACGGCGCTGCACAGAGGTTAGGTGTTTTGGCCCGTTCCTGCATACAAATTGTTTCAGTTCATTGTTCTTTTGATTTGTGTTGCTTATACGCCTTGCTTTGGATCACTCCACAACATTTCATTGGGGCTGAGATCAGGACTCTACAATGCAGATTTTCTGCTGTTGCATTCACTCTGTTGCTAATTTACTCATGTGTTTTCCATAATGGTCACCCAGCTTCTGGGCTTCAAACACTTCTTGACATTTTGATGTAGGCTATCCAGATACAGCTTGGAAATGATTGGTCATACAGGGATTGAAAGCTATCCTTCCCACACTACTGTATTGTTTTCACTGTCCTTTGCAATTTGGATACATTTTTTATATTGTTATTAATTTTATTTCTTTATGAATTCTTTTTAATTGTAATTATTTATATACTTTAAGTTTTACCTCTTTATATTCTGTGTACATTTATAAAGTTCAACTTTATCTGCTCCCTAAATATTGGGGTTGATTTACTAAAACTGGAGCGTGCAAAATCTGGTGCAGCTCTGCATAGAAACCAATCAGCTCCCAGGTTTCATTGTCAAAGCTTAATTGAACAAGCTGAAGTTAGAAGCTGATTGGCCACCATGCACAGCTGCAGCAGATTCCGAGTGCACCAATTTTAGTACATCTCCCCCATTGCTCCACTAGTCTATGATTTATCCAGGTAGTCTTTAAAGCCTCTGAGGAAGAGGCAAGTCCTCGAAATGTGTCAGCCTATTGGATGTCTACATTCCCCATTACGGACTGTTACTCAGCGCGGTGTTGACCCAGCTGTTCTTTTATGATGTGCCTTGACTTTATTGTCGTTTGTGAGTACAGCACCTATTTTATTTCTTATTAAACATTTTTTATGGTAATGCACTAGGCCTGTGCGCCCTCTCTTTGTTCTTTCCTCATTCAGTCTTTATCAAACTTGGGGAGCACAGTGCTATTTTGAATAATGTGGTTTCCTCCATGATAACCTTCTGTGCACTGCACTTGTTCTTGTGATAGAAAAAAACACACCCAAAGTTACTGTTGCACTCGATATTTATGTATTTTTATATATTGTTACTAGATTATAATTTTTTCATAATTTTTTGTAATTTTTATAAATTTTAGAATTTTAGAATCAGATATTTTAACTATGATACACACGTTTTACTTATCCTACAGTTATACAAAGGGCTTTTTTTCAGGAGGAACCCGGGTAATACAGTTCTGGCACCTCCAGCACTGAGTGTGTGTAAAGGCAAGAGGTGCTGGGCTGTGATGGAAGGCCTATTGATGCTGGCTGCTGGGGGATCTATTGTCACTGGAGGTAATCTATTTTTGGCAGTCTATTGTTGGTGGGGAAATCCATTATTGCTGAGTGGGGATCTGTTGTTGCTGGGGAGTTAGGACCCATGTACACAGGACGTTTCTGAACGATGAAACTGACTGCTGGAAAACGTAGGTTAAAAAAACGTCTGTTTAGCCACGTTTGCATAACGCATTTATGCGCGTTTGCGTTTAGAAGCGTTTTTTAAAGATAAGCACAGGAGAATGCCCAGAATGCACTGGAAAGTGGTAAATGACTAACTGTTTCAGACTGTCAGTGAAATACAGAGAGTAGAAGCAGAGACAGCAGTAAGTGTTGAGATAATTAGGTGTGAGTTGCTCATTAACATTTCTTTTGTTTCCAAGGGTGGGAAAGGTGTCTGGTGGAGTGAGTCAGTAAGGTCACCTGGCAGGAGGTCTTCATGAGGAATTTGAGGTGTGAATGGTCATTAACATATCTTTTGTTTCCAAGGGTGGGAGAGGTCTGAGGTGTGAATTGGTCATTACAATGTGGGATAAGCTTGGTAGGAACATCCTGTGTTCAGTGTTTTGTCCATCTGAGCACCATGAAAACTCTTTGCATGCATTTCTCATGATGAAAAAAGGCTCTGGACAGCATTGGGAGCTGGCAGAGTTAAAAAAAAATTGCAAACGCTTATAAACGCGATTTGCCGCATTTACAATCGTTTGAAACGCTGACAAAATCGACATCTGAATGCAAGTTTGTTGCATTCAAAAATACAACTGTAAATTCAACTGCCTGTAAACAACTATAAACAAAGATGTGTACATGGACACATAGGAAAACATTAGGGTGAGTTCAGGGGCTGCTAAAAAAAAAACGCTGAACAGCTCCTAAACGTGAGTTTATCAGCTGCAGTGTACATGAGCCCTTAATTGCTGCTGGAAGGGATCTACTGTTGAGGGAGGGGTCCATTGTTCCTGGTTCCTGGAGAGTCTAATAACCCCTTCGCGCTGGTGCCTCCCAGCCCTTTAAGGGTTTTGGAAGCCGAGAGGTGGGGCGGGGTTTAGGATCATGTGACCACTGTGACACGAAGTCACGGCGGTCACATGATCGGGAAAGGTCCTGATCGAAAGAGGAGATTGGGACCTTTCCATGAGTACCGGACATGTGTGCTGGGAGCACGCAGGGCACAAGCTCTCAGCACATATGTCTTTTTTTAATAGAACGCAAATGTGCGGCCGCTCAGCGTCTAGGCCAAGACGCTGGGAGGCCGCACAATTACGTTAGGCCGGCATGAAGAGGTTAATGCTGGCTGTTGAGAGACCTGTTGTTGCTTCTGGGGGTCTATTGTTGCTGGGGTGGTATTTTGTTGTGGAATCCATTGTTGTTCTGGGGGGGTCTATTGCTGCTGGCTGTAGGGGATTTACAAAAATTTAAAAAATTTAAAAAATGCAAAAACATAATAAATGCAGCAAAAATGCAAGTGCAAAAACGCAATGCAAAATGCAATGCAGAAACACCTCAAACGCAACCTGCATAGGTATGCACCTAGCCTAAAGAATGGCACTGGGAGGTGGGTAGGGGGTGGAGATAAGAAATGACTCAGAAAGGGGGAGTTCCTGTACCTATTCTCTGAGAAAAACAAAATAGCCCTGATTATACAGTACAGTATATGCTTATTAAACTTCAGAATGATCTTGCCATTTTATATCCAATGTATTTGTAATAAATTCTCCCAATTTAATTATTTTTCTTTGTCTATAATGCACTTAATTTTTTATAGTTATGGAATGCATTTATTAACACATTTGTGTGACTAGGAGTAACGTTTGCTTGAGCAACATTTTACTGTGACAAATAAAAATGATATCTGAATCTATGCTCTCAATTTTTCACTCCACATAAGCTTTATTGTAGGGCCTCATGCACACAGAGCTTATAAAATGCCATTATACAGACAGCAAGCATTTTTTTTCAGCCTGTAAAAGCACCTCTATGTAAGCCCTTGTGTCCATGCAGACATAGACATCTACAGGCATATTACAAAAGGAGAGTTTACAGGCAGAACAAAAAAACCACCAAAGGAGCATTCAGGAGAGGAGCTGAAGAGCAGAAAAATGCAAAACACTTCTAAATGCACATAAATGCGTCTAAACATGCATAAACACTAGGCACATGTAGCATTTGAACATTAATGCATTAAAATGACCAGAATAAATTAATATTCTGGCCAATAGAATGCATTAACACTCAAACACTAGACGCATCTAAATATGTATAAACATGCCTAAACATGCCTAAACGTTTTTTGTATTGTTCCTTTCAGGATTTTGGAAGATCAGAGGCTCCATATGTTTGGAGCCTAATAATGTCATGGTAGCAGAATTTAGAAAAAGAGATGCTGTAGATCCCTAACTGTTAACTGAACGTTGTCACCTGTTTGAGAATATTGTGCCCTTGCACTGATCATTGTAGAGCATCTGTATGATAGTGAGGTCTGACAAACCCAAAACTGCGTGGAGGGAATGAAGAAGTGGTACCAAACATAACTGTCCCCAAAATGCAAAGATTGGTAACAAAACGGTCAGATTAAAACCTCCTGTCTGTGCTAAGCAATCAAGGAAGGCATCATAAACCTTAGTGCCCAGGGTCTTCAAAGGACCTTGGATTAGACCCTATCATGAATCTTTACATTGTAAATAGTCCAGTATGTAGTTTAAAAACACATATTTTTGAGGCTGGGGTATTGATCTATACTCACCTACAGCTGAACACAAAGTTAAATGTCTTTTAAATTCATTAACTCCTGATGTAATGAAGTTACCTTCCTGAAATGTGGTTACACGAATGAAGAAGAAGATACAACTCAGTTGCATACCAAACACAACTCTATTATGTGGTGCTCCCATATTGCCGTGTGATTGTCCAGGATTCTTTCCCACTAGT